TTATTAAAAAAATAAAACACATTGGGCGTGGCTTAACATGTGACAGGGGCGGGGTCAAACAGCGGCGAGGGCGGGGTTAAATGTGCCCCCTACTTTTGTCCCTGGTCCTCCATGTGCCCCCCCTAAAAATGAATCCTAGAGACGCCACTGCCGGTTGCTAGAAAAGGCATTGGATGGGGATCTTTAAAAAGTAATAGGGAGTGTACAGTAACCTACCCCACTAACCCCCAGCGCAAAAGGACAGGTCAGAAAATAAAGTTGGGAAGAACCTTATGTCCCACCCATCACCTGTGGGTTATACTATTAAGAAGAGAGGACCTATTGTCCATCCAGCCACACCCATGGATGGCAGAGAGAGGCCCTAATAGTATTATTGAAGGGGAGGGATTAATATGTTCTTCTTGCCCCACCCATTGTTGTGATAATAATATATTTATATATATTTTATATATAATAATATTAATTAAGAATGATTGATTGATCACTATTGAGCAAATCAAACTATTATATGTAGTTAAGATGGCGCCAGTACACAGTACTTAAAATGTTAATAACCACAAAGCACAGCACCAGAATGACTCATGCATAGCTTCACGAGAATATTATGAGAACGTTTAGATAAGAGATATTAACCGCACAGATCTGGCATGGTATTGTTGATGGGACTGGAAAGCCTGGCCAGCTGCAGGTCCCACCCAACGCTTTTGCAAGGTCTTTGCTGGGTTCGACTGATAAAAAGATTTGGTGGAACGGTACAGACTATTCACCCCATTGATTATTAATAACTTATAAAAGATGAGAAAACTTGGCACTCATTGGAGTACTACCCACCTGTAATACAGACGCATATTGCTGGTTCTGCTGATTTCCCAGTAAGAGAGGGTCCTCTTCAAGCCTGACTGCCAGAAGTTCTCTCAGTCGAGTGCCACAAGTCTCTCTTATGGTGATGTATACTTGAGCTGTTTCTTTAAGCAGTTTTTTTGTTTTTATTAAGATGTTTCTTTGAGCTGTTCTTTTAAGCTGAATGTAGCGGAGCTGCAATATTAAATCCCAAGATCTCCGCTCGTATAGAAGGTAATATCCCAAATCCCCCAGTAACCGGACGAAACACAGTTCAGGGAGTCAACTGACAATTTTATTCACGGCTCCAGGAGTCAACTGACAATTTTATTCATTGCTGTTAGCCTATGCATGCTCTCTATTCTAAAACACGGATACATTTTTACACCAGGTTAACACAGCTATTTCAGACAACCTTTAAATGTTCTGCAATATGACCTAAAGTGGCTAGGTTTGCCACAATGCTCCCCCAGAACCAAGCCGGCATACACAGTCTGATCCAAACAGATCGGCTTGGGGATGTCCGGAGGAGTACTCACAGATCACTTCTCAAGGTCAGTCTGTCACGATAACCCGTCGGCGTTAACGTTTTGCTTTCCTGGGTGGTAATGAATAGTGAAGTCAAAAGGCTGCAGCGCCAAACTCCAGCGCAGCAGCCTGGCATTGTCCCCCGCCACTCGGTTCAGCCACACCAACCGGTTGTGATCTGTGAGTAGGGAAAAAGGTTGTCCATATAAATAAGGCTGCAACTTTTTGAGAGCCCACACCACGGCCAGGCATTCTTTCTCAATGGAGGCGTAGCTCACTTCACGGGGTAATAACTTTCGGCTTAAGTAAGCTATGGGATGTTCTCCGCCATCTGCTCCAACTTGGCTCAGCACTGCTCCCAATCCAAACATTGAAGCGTCTGTGTGGACAAGAAATCGATTAGTTGGATCAGGAGCAGCAAGTACAGGTGCATTGGTTAAAGCAGTCTTGAGTTGTTGGAACGCCTGATCCCACTCTGGGGCCCAGATGACCCGTCGAGGAAGGTTTTTGCGGGTCAAGTCAGTCAGGGGTTTGGCCAGGGCACTATAATTGGGTACGAATTTTGGTAGTACCCTGCAGTACCCAGGAAGGCTAGCACTTGGATTTTTGTCCGGGGGGTAGGCCACTTAGCTACTGCTTCAATTTTTGCTGGTTCAGGCTTTTGCTGTCCACTCCCTACCCGGTGCCCCAGGTACTGTACCTCTGCCATCCCTATGTGATACTTGCTGGGCTTTAGCGTCAATCCTGCCTCTCCGATATGGTCAATGACTGCTCCAATATGTCGCAGATGGTCTGACCAGGTCTGGCTATAGATGGCAATTTCATCCAGGTATGCACATGCATACTCCTGAAACCCATCCAGTAGCCGATCCACCATCCGTTAAAAGGTAGCCGGAGCGTTTTTTCATCCCGAATGTCATGACGCGAAAAGCTGATACAAGCAAAATGGGGTGACAAATGCCGACTTGGGGATGGCATCCTCGGCTAGTGGAATCTGCCAGTACCCTTTGCATAAATCTATTGTAGTAAGGTACCGGCCTCATGCCATTTTGTCTAGCAGCTCGTCTATCTGGGGCCATGGGCGTCCCCAGGAATTTTTCCAGGGGGGGGCATAATTGTAATGACATCCATGCTTGGTACCTTTTTGACAGTGTCATGAAAGGGAAGGGGCATAGCCATTATCACATAAAGCCAGGGTGAATAGCGTTTTCACAACTATGGTGTCAGGAATATATGTTCCCTTAAGCAAATTAAAGGACATTTCTGGTCACCATAACAACTTCACCTAAATGAAAATGCTATGATGCCAGGAAGCCCCTGGGTGCTCGCTTTCCTTTAAGGGGTTAAATCGCTCTCAAATGGTTTAACCCCAAAGGCTTCCTCCAGCTCCAGGTCGCTCAGTGGTATTTAGAAATACAAATACAGAGTTTCAGCGTGTGACCCAAATGGATACCAAATCACTCAAAAAACACCCGTGTGGTAACCTCTCTATCCACACAACAAATAACATAAAATCATATACATACAATGGGTGGAGTGATGCAGTTCAGGGTAAAAGATGGTAATATACAGGCAAACGGAGTGACTGTGGAGATAAAATAGTATACAAGCACCTAGTGCAATATTGTACAGAATAATAGTTGTAAACATAAGGTGTATAATTCAGTACTCACAAAGGAGGAGCCAGATAGATAATGGCTCAATCAAAGTGCCTGTGGGATAGTTTGAAGGGATCCCACTCCCTTTCAGGATACAGGTGATCTTTCACTAATTCCAAAAGAAATGTCCACACCAATGGGATATTGGGGACTAAATTTCTTTTAATAATAAACAATAAAATACAAGTATGTAAAAATATAAAATAAGAAAAGGTAAAGACTTAACACTAAACTGTGGTAAGGTAGGTAAGTCCTTTGTAAGGTCAAAAAAAAGTTGCAAAACGCGTTTCGCACAAATCGTGGGCTTCCTCAGTTGCTAATAGTGTCCATCGGATAATGTGTATTTATGCCCGTCCAGGAAGGTGGTTTCTTCCGTGTTCGCGCATTTTTTCTATTTCCGGTCGCATGTTGATGACGTGTTTCCGGTCCGCGGGTTGTTGGTTAGATCGCTGTTGGAACGCATATGCGTTCCACACATTCAACAAACTTTATTCTTCCCTTTGATTAAATGGAAGAATAAAGTTTGTTGAATGTGTGGAACGCATATGCGTTCCAACAGCGATCTAACCAACAACCCGCGGACCGGAAACACGTCATCAACATGCGACCGGAAATAGAAAAAACGCGCGAACACGGAAGAAACCACCTTCCTGGACGGGCATAAATACACATTATCCGATGGACACTATTAGCAACTGAGGAAGCCCACGCTCAGTGGTATTTGGCTTCTGAAACAGAGCGTCAGGAAGTGCAGATTGACGTCAGGCATGGGTGCCGCTGATTGGCTAGAGTGGACAGTTGACGCTCTAAGCCAATCCAATCGCTACTTCCCAGTTCATAAAATATTTTTACTTTTTTATGAATGGGGAGCTACTGATTGGTTTAGAGTGCCAGCTGACCGCTCGAGCCAATCAGCAACACCCCTACCCAACAGCACTCTGTGCTTCCTGACACATTAATACTAAAAGTGAACACATTAATACTGATATTTTTTTACCTTTGGAGATGAGAAGGTCCAGCGTTTCCCTGTCTGGCCCAGGTACCAAAGCCTTATGATGTGGTGTCCAGAATAAAGTGGAGGGTTCACTTCATTTGTCCTTCCTGCTCCAATCTCCTTTTCCTCTCCTTCATTTGACAGTCTTTATTCTTCTTCTGACACTGTTTTCTATCCTTGGCCCCTACTGCTCTTTTACCCTTCTGCTACTTTCTGCTTATTTTGCGCCCTTCTGCTCCTTTCTCATTCTGATCCCTTTCTGCTCCTTGCAGACCCTTTCTGCTCCCTTTTCTACTTTACCTTTGTGCTCCTTGCTGTCCCTTTCTGCTCTTTCTCCTACTTTACCTTTGTGCTCCTTCTGATTCTTTCTGCTCCTTTACCTTTGTGCTCCTTGCTGTCCCTTCTGCTCCTTGCTGCCCCTTCCTGCTCATTCTCCTACTTTACCTTTGTGCTCCTTCTGCCCCTTCCAGCTCATTTCTGACCCTTTCTGCTCCTTCTACTTTGCCTTTGTGCTGCTTTACCTTCCAGCTCCTTGCTGACCCTTCCTGTTCATTTCTGTTCCTTTGTGCTCCTTCTCCTACTTTACCTTTTGTGCTCCTTGCTGTCCCTTCCAGCTCCTTGCTGCTGCTCCTTGATGTCCCTTCCTGCTCATTTCTGTTCCTTCTCCTTTTCTTACCTTACCTTCCTGCTCCTTGCTGACTCTTCATGTAGGCTGTCTCCCCCATCCCTCACTTCTATAGGCGTGCGCACGGGGTGTGTCGGGTGTGCCTGGGCACATCCTAATCCCCGCGGCACGCCAATGGATTGAGATCGGCAGGGGAGATCTCTGGATCTCCCCGGTCGGCTCATGCAGAGCCGACGCTATCCGAGCGGCGGCTCTGGTCTAAGCCTCCATGGGCCGGTGGGGAGATCAAAGTTCTACCTCACGGGTCCACAGCAGCATGGAGGGAGGCAGCAGAGAACCTGGGCTAGAGTTCACTCTCCACTGAACCACCAGTGAAGGCAGCAGGACTGGGATATTAACTAGTCTGCCCCCACCTCCACCCAAACATACAGCACACACAGCCCACAAACAGCACCCACACACACACACAGCACCTACACACATACATCACCCTCGCACACACAGCACCCACACACACCCAGCACACTAACAGCATCCTCACAAACACACAAAACCCACACACAACACCCGCACAGCACCCACACACAAACAGCACACTCACACACAAACAGCACCCTGACAAACACACACACAGCACACTAACCCGAACAAACACGCACACACAAACACCCTCTCACACACACACACACACACACACACACTACTAGTTCCCTCACACACAGCACACAAACAGCACCCTCACACACAGCACACTAACAGCACTCTCACAAACACACACAAAAACACCCTCACCCACATAGCACACTACCAGTGTATATATATATATATATATATGTATATATATATATATATACACATACATATACATATACACATGGTGTGTGTTTGTGCTTTAGGGTGCACACCCTAATGTAATAGGCTGCTCCCCCCCCCGGCTCACTCCCCTAATCTACAGGCTGCTGCCCCCCCCCAAATCTATAGGCTGCTGCCCCCCATAATCTATAGGCTGCTGCCCCCCCTAATCTATAGGCTGCTGCCCCCCTAATCTATAGGCTATCTCAAACCCCCCACCCCATCCCACACTTACCTGATCTGTAGGCTGTCTCTGGCTGCATGTGTTGCTCCCCTGCGGTTTCAATCAGCAGAGAGAAGCAGGGATAAGATGCAGCTTCCTATCCCTGTCTCTCTCCATACACAGCGCCACCTACTGTCCGGCGCCGGTATTGCAGTTCATTTTATATCTCACACGAAAAATAGCAGAACAAGCTGAAAAATGCTCCCCCTTACCCCCCCCCTGCAGACGCCCATGGTAAGAATATTGTTGCAACTGAGCCAACCTCTTCAAAGCCCATTACCTTTTCAGGGTAATATTGGCCCACTTCAATGACGTCTGTCCTGTGGTCTATCTGGATTTCGTGAAATATTCCAATTTTGAGTCCTTCCAACCTGGGTTTGTTCCCAGGCATATAGCTTTTCAGAACTCCATTACCATTTTGTGAAAAACTGTACTCAGGGCATTGAGTTCATGAGGGGACAATGTCTGCGTATAGACTACCCTGAGTGGACTGGCTAACATGGCTGATGGTTAATTTTTGTGTACTGACACCAAATTTTTAGGAGGGACTCCCTTGTTGCAATGAATTGAGCCTCAGAGAATTAGCAGACAATTTCCATCTTACACAATTGCCAGACATGCCCCCTCTCCTTTTTTACCTTTTTCCGTTACTCTCCTAACATTTTTAGCTTTGTATTTACTCTGACATCTTCTTCTTCTTCTTTAAAATTATGGTTATTTGGAGTAATAGGAGGAGTTGTGTGTAGGGATACAAAGAGTACAACAGAGGGCTAAAATTAATATTTATTTATAATTATAACATGTAGAATAAGGAGTTCCATGTATTAGATTAATAGCTTGCGTCTCTGTACATAATTATGGAACATGAATCAATGAAGATGTTACATTAAATTTGAAAGCATATTCATCACACTGCACTGCTAGCAGAAGGTTTATTTATTGTTTTGAATTCATATTTCACACAGAGAGCAGCAATCAGTGCCCTGTTGCCTGTGCATGTAGTGTTGGTTGCCCGTCACAGCAGGTAAATCTCACATCGTTGAGAGCTGTGTTATCTCCCACAGGTTGGGAATCTTCTACCTTTGACTCAATTCCACAAACACCCATGGTGCAGTTGCTGCTCCAGTCTCCATAAGTCCCCCAATAGAGGCCATTTCCTTCGAGAATGCTACCATCTGAGCATTTCAATTTGATGTTGTTTGCCGCAGTGTCATCTCCCTGTCCTTGAGAGCCCTCTACCCTCAGTGAGAAGGCCATTAGATAGCCATATGGACACCAGAACGTTGGGCCCCATTTTCCCCAGCTGAAAGAAAAAGTGATTAGTACTAAAGATGACTTCATCAGAGAGACAGACAGACAGACATACAAGCAGATAGATAAACAGATAGATAGATAGTATAATGAACCCCCTGTACTTTGTTTAGTACGTTCATTCATACTCTCCCAAAATTCAGCAGGGTCATGTGAAATATAGCTCTTCGTCATTCGCATACCCAAACATCAGTTGAGACTTGCACAACAGGAATGTCTTATTATGGCCAGATGGCCCCCAGCAGGGGGTCTCCAGCAAAAACATAGGTAAAACACGCACAGGCGTCTCTGTGTCTGGGAGATAAGTGAGTTTACTTTACTTAAACTAATTATCTCCCAGGCTAGAGGTACAGTGAATAAAACATAAAACACCCCAAAACATTCATGATTTTAATAGGAACCCCCACAAGTCCTATATCCCCAGATAGCCTGGATCTGAGCATCTAAAGTGTCTGAATGGCGCTCAAATCCCACGAATACAGCCGAATCGCCACCAGGGTAAAGTTTGACCGACCGCACACATGTCGTCTGCCAAATTAGTTCCAGAAGAAAAGTGGTACCGGTCAGTCACTTTCGGGAGTTCTAAACAAACAAAATACTGAACGGTTCCCCTGGCTCATGAGTAGTGATTGTTTGTCTAATTTGTGCTTACCTTTCAACTGCACTCTCCTGGCTAGTCGAGAACAGAAGCAGGCAGTGATACAAAATCACTGAGGTTCACGAATTAGGGTATTCATCTTAGATGGCCGCCCGATGGGTTGGCCTTTACCAGCTGGGCAAACAATGGGCCACCCACCCAAGGGATCATGGAGCTGGCCACCCTGGGGAGGATGGAGGCGGCCGGCTCATGTAGTGTTGTAGCTAGCCTGCCACCGGCTCTGGGCTGCATGGAGGCAGCTGGCTCATTGAGCATTGTAGCTGGCCGGCCACCCGCCCACCTTAGGCTGCACGGAGGGAGCAAAAATCTACCTGCAGCGCCTCTCTGCTCCCTCACGCTGTATAGTGATGCTGGGAGCCAGAATATGAAGTTATTCCGGCCCGGCATCACTACAGAGAGTGTGAGGGAGCAGAGAGGAGTTTCAGTTAGATTATTGCTCCCTCACACGCAGGAACAGAGCAGCCCCACTGGACCCCAGGGAAAGATCCACTCAGCTCTTTCAAAGGTAGGGAGGCTGGGTGGATTAAAATGTGTGAGAGTGTGAGAAAATGTGTGTCTGTCAGTGTGTGCATGTCTCTGTCAATGTGTGTACGCCTCTGTGTACGCCTCTGTCAGTGTGTGTGTGTGTGTCTGTCAGTGTGTGTGTGTGTCTGTTAGTGTGTTTTTGTCTCTGTGAGAGTGTGTGTGAGTGTGTGTGTGTGTATGTATTTGTCAGTGTATCAGTTATGTGTGCCTCTGTCAGTTTGTGCATGTATGTCTCTAAGTCTCTGCCAGTGTGTGTGTGTATGGATCGTGAGTGTGTGTATGTCTTTCAGTGATTGTGTGTGCCTGTCATATTCTGTGTGTTTGTTTAGGTACCATAAGAGGTGTTTTTACTCACCTTTTTACCACCGCTGTGCCAGTTTCACTGCAGCTTGTCCTGTCTCCATAGTTGAGATTACCAATCTTTATGATCTCAGCTTAGCCAATGCTTTCCCTTAGGAAAGCATTGGGAGGATATTGCGCATGTTCTCTATGGGTAACATTCAGCGCCTCCATACAGAGCTCTGACACAGGATTATCTAGTGGCCGTCTGAGTGACTGAAAATGCTGTGTTTACATTGATTACAGGGACAGGCTATAGGCAGCAGAACAATTACATTAATCTTTAGTGGTTCTAGTGACAAAAACACTGGCTCCTAACTTTTTTAGCCAAAATAATTTGTTAAGCTCTGACTTAGGGCTTCAGTTCAGTTTGTTGGGATAACCTGTTGCCTTTCTGTTTGCCTGGTCTGTACTGCATGGTAAAATTATACGGTTGGAGGGCCAGGCTCCAGCGCAGAAGGCGGGGGTAATCTCGGTTTAACCAGACGAGGGGGTTGTTGGGTCATTAGTGTGAAGGGAAGTCCATAGATATAGGGCTGCAGTTTCTTTAATGCCCAAACAAGGGTCAGGCACTCTTTCTATACGGTGGCATAGCTGACCTCTCAAGGTAAAAGTTTTCTGCTGAGATATGCCACTGGATGTTCCATTCTGTCATCCCCCACCTGGCTAAGCATTGCTCCCTGCCCAGACATGAAGGCATCTGTGTGGACGAGAAACTTTTTAGTATGGTTTGGGGCGGCCAACACAGGTGCTTCACTTAACGCTGATTTTAACTGTTGGAAGGTGACCTCACACTCCAGGGACCACACTACTTGTCTGGGAAAGGACTTCTTTGTAAGGTCAGTGAGGGGATTGGCCAGACCGCTATACTTAGGGACAAACTTGCGGTAGTAGCCGTCTGTCCCTAGAAAAGCTATTACCTGGCTCTTGGTACGGTGTTGTGGTCAGTTTGCAATAGCCTCGACTTTGGCTGATTTGGGCCATTGGTGGCCAGAGCCCACTCTATGGCAGAGATACTGTACCTTGGCCATACCGACATGGCACTTGTCGGGCTTCAACATTAGCCCCGCTGCTTGAATCCTCTCAAGTACCTCTGTTGAGAGGTGGTCTTTGCATGTGCGGCTGTAGATAGCTATGTCATCTACATAAGCACATGCAAAGTCCTGGAATCCCTCCAAGAGCCTGTCGGCCATTCGCTGAAACTTAGCCAGGGCATTCTTCATCCCGAATGGCATAACCTTAAACTGGTAGAGGCTGAACGTAGTGACGAATGCCGACTTAGGAATGGCCTCTGGCTCGAGTGGGGTTTGCCAATAACCCTTACACAAATCCATGGTAGTCAAGTAATTCCCCCCGGCTATACGATCAAGCAGCTCGTCTATCTGGGGAATGGGGTAGGCATCAGTGACCGTCCTGTCTATCGATACAGAAGCGAGTCGTACCATCTGATTTAGGTACCAGCACTATCGGAGAAGCCCATAGGCTCTGAGAAGGATTACCCCCATCTTTAACATGTCTGGGATTTCTTTCAACATATTCTCCCTAACTGCTGTAGTGGGGTTTCTCCCTGGATCTCTACTCGGTGGACTGCCATGGAGGTGTACCCGGGTAGGGCAAAGAACATCTTGCTGTGCCCCTGGAGCACTTGGAAGGCTTCTGCCTTTTCTATTGGGCTCAGTTTTTCTCCCAGGCTAACCTGTTCCATGATCCCTGGGGACGGGCAAGCAGGTTGGGTAGTGGAAGGTTCTCGCTGTCCTCTCAAAACAGGGTTTCAACATGTCCATATGAAAGGATGGTCATATCCTTTCATCTGAACATTTCCCTAAGATGTAGGTAATGTTGCTCCACAACTCGGAAGGGTCTCTGACGGGCGGCCTGAAGCTCATCCCTTTTCGGCTTCAGAGCCAATACCTTCTGGCCTATTTCTAGGATCCTATTCTGTACTTTTCTCCCATATAGGAGTTCAAAGAGCGAGAACCCTGTGGACTCTTGGGGTACTTCTCGGTAGGCAAACAGGAGATGGGGAAGAACCTTTCCCAGTGCTGACAGAAGGCTGTGAATGTTTTGAGCATCACAGATTACAAACGTTCACAGATTACATTCGTCTGGGGGTGATACGGGAAACAAAAAATGGGTTTGACTCCGCAACTCTGCCATAGTTGCTGGGTAATGGTCGCCGTAAATTGGGTTCCCTGATCATACAAAATGACCAGAGGAAAACCTACTCGGGTGAAGATTTTAACTAATGGTTTGGCTACTGTTTCGGCATCTATCTTCGGAGGGTTATCGCCTCTGGGTACCGGGTAGCATAGTCTACCACGGTAAGGATGTACTTTTTGTCCAAGGTGCTGGGCTTACTGAGTGGGCCTATCAAGACCACTGCTACTTGGTAGAAGGGTTCTTCAATTATGGGCAAAGGGTGCAAATTGGCCTTTGGATGGTCACCCCTTTTCCCTATCCTCTGGCAGACAACACAGGTCCTGCAGTAATTCTGCAGATCTTGTGTGATTCTTGACCAAAACAATGTCTGAGTCAACCGGATACCCAGATGTGGCTAAGCTTGAGCAGCTCCACCCAGTATTTGCGGGAACCACTAGCTGTCTTTTAGCTACTTGCGCTGCTCCGCTACCTGTTCTCCCTCTGTAACCCGGTTTAATAGCCCATTTTCCCACTCAAACCTTTCCTGCTCTATATCTCCCTGGAGGGGACTCTGCCTGTTTCCTATACCTCTCTAATGTAGTGACGAATGCCGACTTAGGAATGGCCTCTGGCTCGAGTGGGGTTTGCCAATAACCCTTACACAAATCCATGGTAGTCAAGTAATTCCCCCCGGCTATAAGATCAAGCAGCTCGTCTATCTGGGGAATGGGGTAGGCAGTAGAACGGGGGTTCTCTTCTAGGATCAGGACATAGGGTCCTACCTGAGGGTACCTTCAGTGCATTGGGTCCAATATCCAGTTCTGCGATCGGGTGGTTACAGGTAAAGCATCCTCTACATCTGATGGTACAAACTGTGATGTTAAGTAGCTCAAGTCCTTTCCCAGGTACACTTCAGCTGGCAAATCTTTCATAATCCCAACATCCAGATATTTGGCCCCCGATTCCCAGTCTAGGTGTGCATGGGAAGTGGGTATTTTAAGGATTGCCCCTCCCCCCAACTCTCACTGTGTAGCTGTATCAGGGTCAGGGTGGCCCCTGTGTCTCAGAGTTCTTTGGCCTCATGTCTATTTATTTTAACAATTTGCCGGTGATGGCCTCCGGTATCTCTAGCTGCTTGCACTGGGTCTGCCTGATAAGTGGGTCGGAACGGAGGGCGACCTCCGCTGTTTTCGGCCCTCCTGCCATCCTGATACTCATTGGCCAGCTGCGCCGCCTCTTCCAAGGTGAGCAGTTTCTAATTCTGGATCCAATAACGGACTTCTGGGGTTACGTGATCAAAGAACTGTTCCAAGAGCAACAGTTGTAAAGCGTCATCTAGGGTGGTTGCCTGGCATTCCTGCATCCAGTTCTTGGCTGCACGGTGCATCCGAAAAAATTCTCAACTGTGGCGAAAGTGTTCTTGGAGGGGCCTGCTTGCCAGCCTCTTGCCTCAGGACTATGGCCCCTGTGTTAAACTTCAGTATATAGGGCCTACCGAACAGATTAGACTAATGCTGTTCGTATACCGAATGAACTGTCGAACGGACTGACCACCCAGAACTGTCATGTGAAGCTTATTGCCCTTATTGATCTTGCTATCCGCAACGTTCTAAGTGGTCAGCTGGGTATGTAACTCTGTCTCTTCCCTTCTTACTGTTACTGCATTACTGTCTTGGTCACCCTCCATCAGTTTGGCTATGATCGCTAATTTCTTTTTATTACTTGCTGAACTACCCCGAGCTTCCATTAGGTCTTTCAGCGTTATTCGCTTGAGGCTTTGGTACTGCTGGGCCATTCACGGCTGTTCCTTGTTGGGGAAGTCCATTCGGGAGTCAGATCCCGCCACTTACCACCAATTCTAATGAACTTCGTATGGTACTTCATTAGCACTCTCTTGAACTCCTGTAAGGTTGTGTGAATTATAGCCCTTTCGTATAGTATGTTCGTTCGTACTCTCTGGAAATCCAGCAAAGTCCTGTGAAATATAGCTCTTCGTCGTTCGCATACCCAAATATCAGTCGAGACTTGATGAAGGGTACAGCAGTAATGTTTTATAATAGCCAGATGGCCCACTTTTATGCACAGACCCCCAGCAGGGGGTCTACAGCAAAAACATATGGAATACACGCCCAGGCGTCTCTGTGTCTGGGAGATAAGTGAGTTTACTTTACTTAAATGAATTATCACTCAGGCTAGCGGTACAGTGAATAAACCATAAAACACCCCAAAACATACATGATTTTAATAGGAATCCCCACGAGCCCTATATCCTTGGATAGGCTGTATTTGTGGGATCTGAGTGCTATTTGGACACTTTTGGCACTCAGATCCCACAAATACAGCCGAATCGCCACCGGGGTAAAGTTTTGACCGACCGCACAAGTGGCAGCTGCCCAAATTAATTCCAGAAGAAAAGTTGTAGTGGTCAGTCACATTCGGGATTTCCAAATTAACAAAATACCGAACAGTTCTCCTGGCTCATTAGGTAGTGATTTTTCATCTTGTTCGTGCGTACCTCTCCACCGAAAAGCACTCTCCTGGCTTGTTGGGAGCAGAAGGAGGCTTCACAGAGGTTCGCCAGTTAGGGTATACGTCTTAGAGTTCCAGACACTCGACAACTAAGTACCGCTGCCTGTGTTCGGGTAATAATTGCCTAGGTGCTACCCGCGTTAAGCATATATCCAAATAATATTAGGGGTGCACTCACAGGTCTTATGAAAAAAATCATGGTTTAATGAAACAAAAAAACTTTGGTTACATCTGTAATGCAATGGACATCTCGACCCCTGCGGGTCTTTTTCAAGGTTTTTTTCATAAGACACCTCTCTCTATACATATCAATGGGTTTCCAAGGCAGAGCATCTATACACAAGCATCACATCAATATGCGCTATGGCAGGTGTTGACAGGAGTGATAAAAGGCACAGCGCCACTGGATTACTGAGCAGTGGAAATGTGTTCTATGGAGTAATAAATCACACTTCACTGTGTGGCTGTCTGATGAAAGAATCTACATGTGGAAGATGGCAATAAATTATTACATAATAACTGGTATAATTTAAAGCCAACCTTATAATCAGATTTAATTCCCTCTCATATACGCACAGTTTCTCCCTGGTGCTTATATGTGGAACTGCAAAATTGAAAACAACTGCTGCTATTAATAGCCTAAATTCCAAATTTTACAACATCACGGAAGGCTTCATATTTTGCATGAACTTTCTTTACTGAACTCCAAAGCAGAAAACAAACATAGAGAAAAAACTGAGCAATCATTAACAAGCAAAGGTAATAAGAGGCATGTGTAACTGTAGTACTTACTCTTTCTTTGCTCATAATTTGGTTTACTCCTTAATATCTTTTATACTGTGGCTTGTTTCCTTGGGTATTTTCCACCTGATATTATCTTAATTCACTAGGTAAGTGCATGGGCAAAAAATTTGGTTTGGTTCGGAAATTTGGGTAAGTAAAAAAAATTCTCTGCTTTGGCCATTTGAATCGATGGCATTCAGTTCAGTTTGGCACTTTGGAATTGCCGAACGTCGTCACTTCAGAACTTTGGCGCTTCTGAACTTCATCACGAAATTTGTACGAATGTTCATTCGGAATGAGACGAATTGCATATATCTACTTTGTATATCCTATATAATAATTGGCTAAGGATGTTTGTACAATGCAGTCATGCGCAGTAGAGACTGCGTGAGACTGCATGGGACAAACATCCAATGCCAGGTGGCGAGCAACGTCCTTCAGGGTCCACTGGCAGCCGCAATGTGACGAATACAGCGTATAACGTCATTGCACAAAAGGAATTAGCTTATTGGTCAATATTCATGTCATCCTTCACGTAATTTTCCCTCCCTCTCTCTTGTTTTGCCACTTTTCAGAAATCTGAATCACTTCGCCACTTCGGAGCTTCGGCCCTTCAGAGTTTCTGTATGTCGGCACTTCCGAACTACCAAACTTTGTCACTTTGGAAATTCGCCACTTCAGACATTCGTAAGCATCCAAATGTTAGAATGGCATGAAATTCGTACAAATGTACATGCAGAACTAAATGAATCGCGCATGTCTATCATTTACTTTTCTCTTTGTATATGTTTACTGTCCTTCTGGGTATCTCTATTACCTTCTGCTATTTGACATTTCTGGCAGGCAGTTTCCCCTCTGGCACCTCAGACACTTACTGGGGCTTTTGGCCAGTGGGGAATACTCCTGTTCCGCTTGGATCCCCCTGCACAGTTTTTCCTGTATATGTTGGCTCTAGGGACTCCATAACCCGCTGTCCACTGCATTTCCCCCCCACCCCCCTCCCTGCCGCGTGGGCATTCTCAGAGCTTGGCGCAGCCTTTGGACGCATGCACACTATGCTATGTCTTTTTCCGAACAGTTTCCATTCATGGGTTTTTGTTAATTGTTTGTGAGCTGAACACACAAATGCTCCAAATTGACTAACCCTGACTGCCGAACGTTCAGCACTTTCCATATATCCGTCCATTCACGCAAAGAACATACATTTGCGTGCCAAATGCGGGTGTCTGGTTTCTTCCCACACAAATCACGTGTGACCTCTGGTGACGTCCATCCTGGCTCGCAAGCATTGCAAGATCTCGACGGCCATTTGCTGGCTCTGGAGACGGCTGCTGTATGTCACAGTTCTCCCTTTGCAAGCGGATTTCATCTGGTTACTCTTGTTACTGCTGGAATTCACTGGGACCAGGCTCAGGTTGGTGCACTGCACACTGGGAGGTTTGTAGCCAGCTAGGGCCTGTCCCATATACTGGCTTAGGGTGAGCCCAAATTCCATGTGCTGTTCTCGCAGGCTTTTATTTTCCCAGGTGAGCCCCAGTTGAATTACATACTCCCTGTTATAGCATGTGACTACTGGCCCATTCCCTGGGCTCTAGAGAATTTGTCACAGGCTGTTCTCACACGTGTTGTCATACCTCCTACCTGGTCCCTAGATCTCTCCTGCCCTATTTCAATTGTGGCCATATGGTCTGCTGGACTGAGTTTCCTTACACTTAACCACAATGTAAGTTGGGTGAGCCCCAAAATATTGCTAATTGTTGCAATGGACTAGTCCCAGAACCCTATGGACCTCCAGGCAATGATTTCCGCAGCTGTAGCTGCTTCCATAGAGGAAGCGCTATCCCAGGTCTTTCCCACTGGCCTGGACCCATCTATACTCCCACCTTAGCTGTCCCACTATGTGTCTGATTTGGAGGACTCCTCTATAGACTGATCCCACCAGCGGAACCGCCACTGGAAGGGCGACTGAGCCAAGCGGAAGAAGGCAAAGGGTAATGTGTCTGCCTAGTGCAGTCATGCCCTGGCGTGAATGGTATCTAGACCTGTGCAGCAACACTCCTTGGATGAGGACCTTGACAACCCCTACTCTCTTTCTGTGTTAGACAACTGGCAGGCAGATGAATCGAACGAAGGGGCTTGGAGCTACGCCTCTCAGTCGGATCACTCCTTCTCTAAGGTGGCCTACCCAGGTGAGCCCAAGGGTACATTGGACAATGTGGCAGTTGGGGACTTCACCACTCAAACTAATCCAGAAGTGTTCCTGGATGCCGCAGGTGGACATATGTTCGACCTTAGAAATATCCGTCATCCCAGTTCTGGTGACTGGATGCCTCCTGACCATCTGGGGACCTTCATGCACTTCTGGCTCAGGAAGTCCTTAGATAAGGATGTTCAGAAATGTCTGCAGTCAGAATGCCCATGCCCCATACTGCCAGACAAAGTGGCTTGCACTCCGGAGTTTGACCAACTCATGCTGGCGTTCATGGCCCGAGGGGGCAGTGACCCTCGTAGGAGAGTAGAGCTAGGAAACACCAACATGGCCCTCTCTTTGGAGAAGTGCCGGGCTGCACTTTTTCACATAGATGGTAAACTGGTGGATTTGGGATCCAAAGAACTTGGTCCCCAGGCATAGAGCAAACTGTTTGGAGAGACGTTCCTAAAGGAACGTAACAAACACGTTAAATTGCTCACCTCACTTAACAAAGCTCAATCCTCCATGAGGAAAATGTTTTGGGGAAACACCTCGAGGGGTGTTTTTGATAGAGCTGGTCGGCAGCGGGGCTATGCCACCAGCCGCTTCTGACCATCGGGCCTGCACCACACACAACCACATTCCTTCTACCCGGAAATTGTGCCCGATCCAGATTCAATGCTGGTAAGTCCTCCTCTTTTAACTTAGGTTATTTCTGTCACAAAGACTGCTGGTCGTGTCTCACCTTTTTTTCCAGAATTGGAAAAACCTAACTCTAGAAGCTTAGGTCTTGAAAACCGTGCACAGTTTTCAGATCGGATTCGTGGACATGCCGGTTCTCTTCGGCAGATGCACACCTCATAGACCTGGAATACAGGGAGCTCAGGTCCAAAGGTGCCATTCAACCTGCGCCCAGAACAGGCAGGTTCTTCAGCAATATCTTCCTGGTCCATAGACTTTGCCCGGTTATCAACTTGAAGGTCCTCAATTTGCACATAATTTACCGACATTTCAAAATAGAAGGAATCCACTTACTTAGAGATCTCTTTTGGGAAGGCGACTGGTTCACCCGACTGGACCCGAATAATGCATACCTCTCAGTTCCCATTCATGTTCAGAGGAGCACCTTCTTCAAAATCCATTGGCATGGGGTTGCTTGGCAATTCACATGTCTTCCGTTTGGACTGAGCTCTGCTCCATGGTGCTTCACAAAACTTCTAAAGCCGGTGGTCGCCCACCTCAGGACACGGGGAATCCAATGCATCATCTACCTGGATGATATCCTCATCTTTAATGGGGAAAACCACACATTCTACACCGTAGACTTGCTGGAGTCGCTAGGTTTCATGGTAAACCATGCAAAATCGACGCTCACCCCAGCGCAAACTGTGAAATTCCTCGGCTTTGACATAGATTCCAGGTCCTGTACCCTGCACCTCCCCACTCCGAATAGAATCCATACTGCTATGCCTACTGGCCCGGATTGTGGGCCTCCTATCCTCATCCATCCAGGCAATATTCCTGGGATCCCTCCACTATCTGGCAATGCAATGGCTGAAAGCGCATTTTCTCTGCCAGAATCCCACATACGATTAACCGGCACCGATGTCAGATGAGATTCACTAGGAACTCCAATGGTGGTTGGTGTTTTCAGAACTCACTCGGATTTCTTCTTGGAGTCAGATGACAGTTGGTGGGGCTGGAGTGCCACAGACAGAGGCTGCTCCACGGGGGGGCATGTGAATGTCCCAGGAACTGTCCATGCACATCACCTGCCTGCAACTCCTGGCGGGATCATTTGTGATTCACAGGCTTGTGAAATGGAAGAAGAATTGTTGCGTTTAGGAATTACCCTGCCCAGCCACCATTGGTAGCTTTTCCTGTGTGCACCTGGTTCAGCACTTTCCCTTCATGTAAATGGAACCAAACACTAATTGCATGAAACCAAACGCTAGTGCCGTGTGTGTGTGATGGGTGTGAGAGTGCCGTGTGTGAGTGTGCTGCGAGAGAGTGCTGTGTGTGAGAGAGTGCTGTGTGTGAGTGTGGTGTGTGATGGGTGTGAGAGTGCTGTGTGTGAGAGTGCTGCGAGAGAGTGCTGTGTGTGAGAGAGTGCTGTGTGTGATGGGTGTGAGAGTGCTGTGTGAGAGAGTGCTGTGAGAGAGTGCTGTGTGTGTGTGTGAGAGTGCTCTGTGAGAGAGTGCTGTGAGAGAGTGCTGTGTGTGTGAAAGTGCTGTGTGTGATGGGTGTGAGAGTGCTGTGTGAGAGAGTGCTCTGTGAGAGAGTGCTGTGAGTCTGAGAGTGCTGGGTGTGAGAGTGTGATGGGTGAGAGAGTGCTGTGTGTAATGGGTGTGAGAGTGCTGTATAAATGTTATTGTGTGTGTGTGGGGGGGTAAATAAAAAAAAAACAGGCATTATGTCCCCTTCTTACCTTTAGCCTGGGAGGAGGGGGGACCGGCACGCTGGGACTGGGAGGGGGAGTGGCAGTGTTCTCTGGTGGTCCTCGTGGGTGAGTGAACTCTAGCCTGTTAGGCTAGAGTTCACTCTCGCGAGATCCGGTCGTTGCCATGGCAACGCGCCGGATCTCGCGAGAGGAACCCGGCGGAGCTGCAAGTTAGAGCTCCGCTGGGTCCTCTCTCCAGCCTGGCTGGCTCCCTCCCTCTCTCCCCGCCGGTGGCCGCATGTGGGCCGGTGAGGGAGAGCTTTGATCTCCCCACCGGCCCTCCATGGCAAACAGCGGGGCCGGTGCTTTGCCCTGCATAGACCGGCAGGGGACATCCTGGGACCTCCCTGCCGGCTTCGGCCCCACGGCCACCGCGACCCACCGGGCAAATGCCCGGTGTGCCCGATGGCCAGTCCGGGCCTGGTTTTCAGCATTAAAACAGAGTTTTCCCCTGTCCCAGCTAGGAAGCAATCCTTGGTGGAGGTACCCAGCCGAGGTACAGGGAGCTGTGCTACACCATCCATTCGTGATGATAACACAAGTTTTGCATCAGATTCAGGTGCAGAGGGTGACACACCTGAAGCCTCTGGGGCTGGGTCAACCCTGGTTCCCAAATCTTCTGGCATTGTCTTACGGAGGACAGAACCTTCTCAAGAACCCACGGGGGGAATCCCACCCGCTGCTCTTGGATGGAAGCCTCCCCCTGGTAACTTGGACACATTTAGGGGTTTCCGGTGAGTCAATGAGCAGGCAGTTATGGACCTCTTATGGGATTCCTGGGCCCCTCAAACGAGAAGGTGTTATCTCTCTGCCTGGCACTCAGGTTTAGCTGGTGTTTGGAACAAGGTTGCGATCCCTTTACGGCTCCTGTATCCTCCATCACAAATTTTCTGTCCTGATTGTTTTTGTATGGGAAGACCTACCACTCTATAAATGTGGTGAGATTGGCATTTCTGTGGCTCATGTCCCTTTGCAAGGGTCACCGATAGGAAAGGATTCTCTCGTTTGCCATTTACTCCTGGGTATTCGCCTCCAGCGTCCCCCGGGGTTCTAAATATACTAGGCTTTGGGATGAGGACATTGTGCTTCGTTTCCTCTGTACTTGGCCTTCGAATTATAGACTTTCTCTCTGTCAACTCACGGCCAACTTTACGTTCCTGCTTTGTCTGCTATCCTGTCGGGTGCCTCCTTTCCAATATTTTACGGGCAGTGGACCGGTATCGTGAGTCTACCTTTCTGACCTTCTATTTCTGTCCATCTTCAAATGCTGCATTCTCGCTTGTTGCACAGCATTAAGATTGCAAAATATAAAGCCTTCTGTCGTGTTGTAAAATTGAAGGCTATGCTAGCTTTAGTGTACTAGTAATCTTAATTTTAATAATGACAGGAGGTGAATATTTCCCCCCCTTATGTTTCCATGTTTTCCCTTCCCTTATCCATGTTCATGCTTATATTATGTACGCTATATTTATTTCATTTTCTCTCGCTACAAATGCAGATAGTTCCGTTTTGGATTAGGGCTCTAGCCTTGTACTGAGGGGATTACCTTTGTTTATGTTTCCATGGGTTTATGTCATTTAGTTTTAGTAAACATATTGGTATACTGCAAGTCAAATCTTGGTGCATGTTGCCTTGACTTGATCCATTGCCTTATGACTAACATTTTTCACACTCTAATTTCAGCTTGATGTACTCCTTCGGTGGAGATACGCCAACTGTCTTCATTGGATTGTTTGTTCCTCTGGATGTACGGGACTCTGGCACTCCGGGTTTTTCTGGTTTAACTTGGACTTGTGATGTCGCAGTTTGAAATGGAAGTACTACAGTTACACACTCCTCTTATTACCTTTACCTGTTAATGATTGCTCAGTTTGTTCTCAGTTTCTTTGATGCTGTGGAGTTCAGTAAAGAAAGTTAATGCAAAATATTTGCCTCTTGTCATTATTAAAATTAAGATTATTAATACACTAAAGCTAGCATAATCTTCAATTCTTTAGGTCAAATCAGCCCAGGAAGCAAAACACTCCCTGCACTATATCTCTTTCCTCCATGACAGAGCCAGTAATACACAGGAGAGACACAGAGGTACTCACTCTGCAACGGTAGAATTGATTGTCATCTCATTGTGCGGAAACTGGCATCTCACACAGTGCAGGCGAATTCCATTCAGAGCTGTGTCATCATATAAGCCTTGCATGCCCTGCACCTGCAAAATACAGTTTCACTGTCATTATGATGGATATGGTACTGTGCTGTGAGACTGTATCACTGAAGTGTGGTTATCGTCTGTTCTTTTCACTGGTCTTGTGTGTTTAATACCTTACAATCAGGGGGAATAGTGTAGAACCTGTTTAAAAAATAGTTCTTAACCGTCTCTGTTGTCATGTCTATTGGGTCTTGGAGACCTTACTCTGGCATTGAATATGTTGCTCATTTAGCATTAGTCAAAATTCAGATAATGGAATGTCCTACTCATTTCACGTTAGCGGGGTGCTCTAGACTGGAATGACCTACTCATTTCATGCTAACTGGGCTAACTGTATGATGTTTAATTAATAGAATGGGCTTTGCAGAATGGAATGTTCTGCTCAGTTAGTATTAGTGATGCTCTATAGAATGGGAGACCCACCTCAATTAGTGTTTGCCAAGCTCTACACAATAGAATGTCCTACTCATTTAGCATTAGCCGCACTCTATAGAATGGAATGTTCTACTCATTTAGCATTAGCCGCACTCTATAGAATGGAATGTTCTACTCATTTAGCATTCTCTGTTCCCTTTCCATAACACTATTATGGGTCTGGGATGTGGAAATGAAAAAATAAAACATTTCCCCATTTCAATACCAGTAGAAAAAAATAATTAAAAAAAGAGAGAGTGTGTTAACTGCATCACACTATTGCATCACTTATGAATATAACTGCTGGGTTCTTATGTCAGACAGAGACAGAAACAAGTCCTCCACCTAACAAAACCGCCAAAAAATAACCCGATAAAAACTAGCTGCATTGATCTCTTTGCATTTATTCTGTGTGACATCAGCAGCTCTTGCGAGATCTCGGAATTGGCAATGACAATCCTTTAGATGGTGTTTGGAGGTTTTGGTGAGTGGAGGACTTGCTTATGTATATATATATGTATTCACAATGAGTGTTATGTTGGGTAAAGCCATCCTACACTGATTAAGGAAAAGGGGTATTGACATTTCTGTTAGAACCTTGCTATTCATTAAACGTTTGAGTCTTGTGGGTGAACTCAGTCTAAGTGGTGCCCAATGTGTGTTTATTCTATTCTCAGTAGTAAACAGAGCATTAAAGCCTCGATTTAATATTTTTGGATACATTTTTCATGTGATTAAATAAGTTTAGATCAACTTTGTTATAAACATTTTTGTCAACATATTAAAATAGCAAAATATATCAAATATTAAAAATATATCAAATATTAAAAATATATCAATATATTAAAAATATATCAATATATTAAAAATAGTAAAATATTTTTCAAAATACTAAATCATTTTAAAAGTTTATCCAAAAATCTGAAATCACTTTAAAAAGCTTTGACAAAGACCAAATAAAGTCAGGGAGAGTGTGTCAGGCTCGAAACACTACTGGGGGAGAGGGTGAGGCGTTAATCCCTTTTAACTAACCATTATGTACCAAAAAGAAAAGAAGATCTTGACCATAAAATGTGAAATCACACACACACTTGTTTTAGGGAAAAAAATTATTCAGGTTGTTAGTTGTTCTTTCTTATATTGGGCAAGGTCAATGTGCTTCTATATTAGATCTCACATAAATACAGAGCCATTTCACATAATTACTGATCTATTCAGTGATGTATTTAGTATCTGTGCTGCCCTAGGCATGACGGAACTTGGGCACCCCCTAATTTACATATGCCCCACCCCTTCCTGTCAATGCCACACCTCTTCCTGTTAACTAACACACACTTTGACTGACAGACACTCTCAGATACACTGACACACACACACTGATTTTACACAAACAATCACTGACTCACTGACATACACACAATCACTGACATACACACACAATGAAGCAGACACACACACTGACAGGCATACACAATCACTCAGACACACACACACATTCACTGACTGACACTCACAGACACACACACAAACACTCAGATACACAGGCGCCCTCACAGACACAATCACTCAGAAATAAACACATTCACTGACAGACACACACACAAACTCTCAATCACTGACAGACAGCCACACAGTGACAGACACACTGACAGACATACACACACACAATTACTCAGATAGACACTGACAGACATACACACACAATCACTCACATACACACTGACAGACATACACACACTGACAGCCAGACATACACAATGACATACACACACTGACATCCAGATACACACTGATATACACACACTGACAGCCAGACACACACCATCACTCGGATACACACTGACAGACATACACACTGGCAGCCAGACATACACACTGACAGACATGCACACACTGACAGCCAGACACACCCAATCACTCAGACACACATTGACAGACATACACACACTGACAGCCAGACACACACAATCACACAGACACACACTGACAGCCAGACACACACAATCACACAGACACACACTGACAGACATACACACACTGACAGCCAGACAAACACTGATATACTAACACTGACAGCCAGACACACACAATCACTCAGGCACACACTGACATACACACACTGACAGCCAGACACACCCAATCACTCAGACACACACTGACAGACATACACACACTGACAGCCAGACAAACACTGATATACACACACACTGACAGCCTCCCCCCCATTAACCAATTACTTTTTCTATTTTAGTTTAAATCCACCCAGCCTCCCTACCTTTGGGAGTGCTGGGTGGATTTTATTTTACGTGGGGTCCAATGGGGCTTCTGACAGGAAGGGAGGCAGGCGGTTGTGCGGTTAACTAAAAATCTAGGCTGGCGGAACTGGTGAGGGAGCACTGATTAGTGAGCTGTCTCTGCTCAGCTCCCTCACACGCATCATATTCCGACTCCCGGCATCACTCTGTGACGCGCGAGGGAGCTGAGCAGCTCACAAATCAGTGCTCCCTCGCCAGTGCCGCCCAGCCTCCGGGATTTTTAGTTAGCCCAATCTCGCCACATTGCATTGGGGAAGCCTGGTTGCTCGCTTGTTGCCTTTGGATTATGGCCCCATGTTAAAACTTGTATTTTCCCCTGCAGAAAGCCTTATTCATGCATGCCCTGTTTGAGCTGTGTTAAAAGGCTTGATCTTTCCCTGCAAAGACATGAAAGCCGGGTCATTTGGTGCTTGCCCTGTTTGAGCGGTGATACCCCAGATAGCTATGCCATGGAGCCCATTCGTATAATGAAAGACTTTGGGAAAGACTTTGGCTCCATGGCAATTGAACTGTGTGCGATCTGAACGCCATTCAGTAATAATGTGCGCTCAGATCTGAGCTATCTGGGGATATGTTGAATGTACCTGTTTTGTGCAATGGCTGCACAGTTATATGTTTTTATGTGTTTTATTGTCTTTTGCTGCCATGTGTTCAATGGAGTTTTGCTTCTGTCTTTGGAGACAATTGGATTACTTCCCAATTATCTCCAGGATAGAAGACTCTGTGGAACTGGTTTTGGGCAGAAAAGCCATGCTTCCTTTGGTCACAAAGGACTACTGTAACGAGAGCAATCTCGCCACATTGCATTGGAGAAGCCTGGTTGCTCGCCTGTTGCCTCTGGACTATGGCCCCATGATAAAACTTGTATTTTCCCCTGCAGAAAGGCTTATTCATGCGTGCCCTGTTTGAGCGGTGATACCCCAGATAGTTATGCCATGGAGCCCATTCATATAATGAAAGACTATGGGAAAGACTTGTGCTCCATGGCAATTGAACTGTATGTGTGTGCTCTGAGCGCCATTCAGTAATAATGTGCGCTCAGATCTGAGCTATCTGGGGATATGTTAAATGTACCTGTTTTGTGCAATGGCTACACAGTTATATGTTTTTATGTGTTTTATTGTCTTTTGCTGCCATGTGTTCAATGGAGTTTTGCTTCTGTCTTTGGAGATAATTGGATTACTTCCCAATTATCTCCAGGATAGAAGACTCTGTAGAACTGGTTTTGGGCAGAAAAGCCATGCTTCCTTTGGTCACAAAGGACTACGATTTATCTTTTGAACCATTGGGCCAATTTGTATGAATTTGACATATGTTTGTATTTGGAGTATGCTGATTCTGAAAATGTGAATGTGATGCATACTTTTCAAGTTATGAATAATGTGGAAAAATTGTATTTCTCTGCTTGTTATAATTACATTACCCATTGTGTAAGGTAATTGTATCACAGGCAGAGGGGAGGATTTTGTGTGGGAGTGTCTGAGTGTATTGTATGTGTTTATTGGTTGTGTTACAAAACCCTGTGGGTGGTACTAATGTGTAAGAATGTGTACATAAGCACAATAAACCCACAGCTCTGGCTGTTCACTGCTTGACCCTCAACACGGAGCTTTGTCTCGTTCTTGGGGGCATTTATTGTATGCTGTTCCAGTTCGACTGCTAGGAGTGTAAACCTGTAAGCATGGTTTTTCCTATTCGGCTGTTTACGGCATTCACATGGTTTCCTGTTCGGCGGATTGGTGTTCTGCAGTAGCTGTGCCTGTGTCTCTGGAAGGGAAGATCTACTAAATGGCGGTTTAACCCTTTTATGCCAAGGGGTGCAGTTACACCGCCGCCTGGCTAACAAGGTATTTGCCTGGGCATTTGGGGGTGGCATTTTTTATGGATACTCAACCTTTTGTATTTCGCCTGCTGTTCATGTAGTTAGCCCTATTTTGTGCTTTACCTAAAAAAAACCAAAAAACTACCGAACAGCCAGGCCACCCACACTGGGAGTGTGCAGCTCATTAACCGCCCAGAGCTGCTGTTAACCACAGCTATTTGTCGAACGACTGGGTGGTCGCCGTTCGTATGAACAAACACGTTCGGGGGGGGGGGAAGTTATACATTTTAATGCATTTTTGTTACGGTTGTAAAATAGAAATATTCTCTCTACCTGGAGATAATTAAGTTTGCTCAGGACACTTAAAGGACCACTATAGTGCCAGGAAAACATACTTGTTTTCCTGGCACTATAGTGCCCTGAGGAGCTGTGCGCGCATTCAGCCGGTCTCATAGGAAAGCATTTACAATGCTTTCCTATGGACGCTGGCGTCACGCAAGCACCTCTAGCGGCTGTCAATGAGACAGCCACTAGAGGATCTGGAGGCTGGATTAACCCATTTATAAACTTAGCAGTTTCTCTGAAACTGCTATGTTTATAAAAATAAAAGGGGTTAATCCTAGAGGGACCTGGCACTCAGACCACTTCCTTTAACCTAATTATCTCCAAGCTAGAGAGGAGGGATTTTCCTGTTCATGTGGGAGTGTGTTATATTTTGCTGTAACATGATTGGTCTCTGTATTTTTTGTCACAGTCTTCCACAAGATCCCTGTGGGAGTAACTCTTGTTGGAAGACCTGCATAAAAGGCCGAGCTGTCGCCATCAATAAACAGATCATTTTACCCCTTCATGAAGTCTTGGTTCATGCTTGGGGGGATTGGGAGCTATATTTCATAACACCTTTGTATTTACTCGGATTTCTGGAGACGCTGCACGGATTTACTCAGCTGGAGTGTAAGAAATCCATAACAGCAGCCCCCTGGAAAGGGCCGCCCAAGGCAAATTCCTTGTTTGCCTCGCGGCAAATACATCCCTGGATCTATTAGGTATTTCATAAGTAGGGCGGTAGCTCCCCCACATGAAAATTTTAGGGAAGAAATCATTCAGGCTGGTAGATCTTAGATCAGGGACACTCAAGATGTTTCTACGTTTTATTATTATTATTATTGGTATTTATATAGCGCCAACTAATTTCACAGAGCTTTACAATGTTATGAAAGGGGGAAATTTACAATACATGAACCAATTACACAGTGACACAGGAACAATAGGTAGATGAGGACCCTGCTCAAACAAGCTTACAGTCTAGAGGAGGTGGGTTACAAATATACAACAGGGCATCTAGGGTGACAGCCACCAAACAAGGTGGAAAAGTAGCAGACCTGGAGGTGAGAGTGTAGTGTGGCTCTTTTAGGAGAGCGAGAGACAGATTTGGATAAGTATAGATAGTTACTCTGGGAGTCCATGAGCATTTCTGAACAGGGACTGAGGGACTTGAGGGACTTCTTAAATAATTGAAGACAAGGGGAGAGTCCGATGTGGGTAGGCAGGCTGTTCCAAAAGAAGCGAGCCACCCACGAGAAGTCCTGCAAGCGCGAGTTAACAGTAAGGGTGAGAGCAGCGGACAGGAGAAGGTCACTAGTAGAGCGGATAGATCGAAAAGGGGCATATCTATGAATAAGGGAAGAAATATAAGAAGGACTAGAGTTGGTTAGAGCTTTATAGGTAAGGGTTAGTATTTAAGGAGCTAGTAATGAGAGAAGTTGAAAAGATTGAAAGGGTTAATAAATATAAGATGAATTTAAAAAGGGATGAAAGTAAAGCTCTTAAAGAACTAAAAGAGGATGAGGAGATTATTATCAAGCCGGCTGACAAGGGGGGGTGGGGGGGAGGGCATTGTGGTTATGGACAAGGAGTATTATGTAGAGAAATCCCTTAGACAGCTACAAGATGGAACCACTTACAAGAAGTTAAAAGGAGATCCCACAAAAGAAAGATTATACACAAGTATTGGTTCATCCTATCTGAAGATCCCCAACTGCTAGGTGTCATTGGAACAAAACCACATATTATCTATAGAGGTGTTCCAAGTATTAAATCAAATTAAGTGAAAAGCAGCTTTAATACAGTAAGTGGGAAAAGAGGGAATCATTTCTTAAATAATGATGAGGGCTTCTTTAAATGTGGCTATTGTCTGGCATGCAGGAGTACAGGAACTCCTAAAGAAACAAAAAAGAATTTTATAGGTGGTAATACAGGAAAAGAGTATAAAATAAAACACCTGATCACTTGCCATACAAAAAAATTGTATTTACTTATTAACATGCCCCTGTAATCTTCAGTATGTGGGCAAGACAACTAGACAAGTGTTACGGTACCTTCAGCATGAAATGTACAAACCGCCGTTTAGTGAATGCTCCCCGTTCGCAATAATGGAGGCTGTATGCGTATCCAATACAATCATGCGAACCGCAAGTAAGGGAACACTCCAAACTCCCGAACGGTATCCGTACGGTCACTTCCCTCCACGAGCTTCAAGCTCACGAACCGTCAATATCAGCCGAACACCGGTATCTCCCAAGCGGCTAATAATTCCATATAGCAGTCTCTAGTCGCCGGTAATAAAAATCCCCCCAATAACGAGACCAAGCTCCGCATTGAGGGTAAAACACGAACTGAGTTTACTGTGGGCTACCCGCCCGTATTTATGCAGGTCTCCCACTTGGTGGACACTCCCCTAGTGGACCAAATGGGAGACTGGAATAGCAGATGGACATATGGTATCTCAGGACATACAGTCACACAATATTCCCAGCATACATCACAGTTTCCTCCCCTCTGCCCGGGAGATAATTGAGAAGTAATTCAATTATCTCCCAGAGCAGAGGCAAATCGCCATTTTAAATGCAAATCATAAAACACATAAAAATACATAACTTTATAACTGCTGAACATTTCTCATTCGTGTAACACATCCCCAGATAGCCTGGATCTGAGTGCATTTTATTAGCGAATAGCGCTCAGATCCCACACGCATAGTTCAATCGCCATGGAGTCAAAGTCTATTACAGTTCTTCGGTATGCGATTGACTCCATGGGAAGGCTATCTGGGGTAAGTCCATTCGTGCCTTTAAATCTCCCAAACGGCCAGTCTTCGCACACTTCTGTCGATTGAGAACGGAGGTCGACGGCTTCAGCGGTGTTCGGTTGAAAAAGTGTCCGTTTTCAGTTCCATGAATTTAGTACCGAACACCGCTGGTCTTCCGCATGGTTTAAAATGGCCGCCGCCTCGTGGTTGACATACGAACGATGACCACCCTGTATTCGGTTTTAATTGAGAAGTGTCTGTGGTTTACCGCAACGTTCTAATTGGGATCAATAGGTTAACCAGCAGCACACTTCTCTTCTGGGTGGCCGTCCGTTCGGCAGTTTCGTTTGGTAGAAAAGTCAATTCCCTTAGATCCAGGCATAAGAATGGGTGAGTTCGTGAAACAAGCAAACAGACGAATCCAGCAATCTTAGTCCATACAGATGGGTCTGTCAAACAAGTACATATAATAGTGGAAGAGCATATACGGAATATCAGAAAAGGCTTTAAAGAGCGTCCTCACATTTCCTTAAAGAACATCAAGGAGATCCCAAACTACTAATCTTTTTAGGGAAAAATAAAAATAGATTGGAGGGTGGGGGGGGGATTTTAATAAGTTTCTAGCACAATGAGGTGGATTTTCAAACTTAAAACTTTGTACCCCACCGGATTAAATAGTGACTTTGAGTTGTGCCACTTTTTATGATTTATCCCTTTAAGAGAAAGACTTTATATAGAGTCTTCCTTTAAGCAACTTTTAGAAAATTAGGGATTTGGTGATTGGTATGGTCTGTCTTTCTGAATATATCTGCTTATTGGCTTATGGATTGAGTAAACAGAACATTCTACATTGAGGTTTTCTACCCTATTTTGTGGTTGCATAAAATGGCTGGTTATAAAATTATTTATTGAAAACATTCGGATTTTGCATCAACCTTCAACATATTATATGAGTTAGGGATGTTAGATTTGGATATGCCCAATAGAGATTTGCATCTTCATTTTACATTGTCTCTTTGAGTGGAAAACAAAACAAAAAAACAAACATATTATTTAGGCGATAATCCCCCTTTTCTTAATTATTTTTATTTAGGTGATAATCCCCTTCTTCACTTTAGAAGGATTTTATCTATTTATTTTTTCCTCTGTATCAAGTTTATATATAGCCTGGAGGCTAAAACACTTCTATCTTTTTACAAGACATATTTTTAAACTTTACCATGTTTAGTAGATAGTCACCTTACTACCTGTGACGGACCGCTGGCACTCCGACCGAATACCTGCGCCAAATCGATGCTCCTAGCGCTGGCCGAGGACTCCGAGCACTCCACCCGACACCATCAGCACTGCTTTCCCCACTTCCAGCGATGCAGCTGCGCCGGGGTCTCGCCGTCTCTCACCCACCCTGGATCCACGACCAGGATCCAGCTCCCAGTGGGTGAACCTCTCCTAAATCCAGAGAGCGTGGCAGGAACAAATCAAGCTCTTACAAGAGCTTACTCTGAGGAGTAAGTGATTATAGCAATCTGCAGAGTGTAGGTATTCCTTCCCCCAAGCATGAGCCAAGGCTTCAAGAAAGGTGCAAGTAGGTCTGGTTTATTGAGGGCTACCTGCCTGGTATTTATGCAAGTGTCCACCACTAGGGGACCTGATGGAACAAGGGGACACATATTGGATATTAGCCAATCACAGACAATACAAACAAAACACTCCCACAGTGACATCAAAATCCCTCCTCTCTATCCTGGAGATAATTGGGAATTAATCAGATTATCTCCCAGGACAGAGGCAACACTCCGTTAACGACATGGTTACAAAAAGACATAAAATTACACAATGTTACAATTACTACATAAAACATATACATGCAACATATCCCCAGATAACTTAGATCTGAGTGCACATTATTACCGAATGGCGCTCAGATCACATACATACAGTTTAATCGCCATGGAGCCAAACTCTTTTCCATAGTCTTTTGTTACACGAATAGGCTCCATGGCAAAGCTATCTGGGGTTGCATTACTCACATACTGAAAGTCCCGAACGCCCCGGCAGAAATTTCTTTCTGCAGAGTAAAATACAGCTATCAGCACAGGGGCGATAGTCGGAAGGCAGGAGACTAGCCAGTAGTCCCCTCCAGGCACAAGTGGCGAAGTGCACTTCGTCACACTACCCTAAAGCCAATAGGAATATAAGCAGAAATGACAAATGTTAATATAAGATTGGTGACTGCAATATAAGGGAGAGGACAATGTACTTATCTAGAGAATAATGATGTTTTTCTTTATTTCCCCATATGTATGTTCTGCAGGGTAAAATACAGCTAGCAGCACAAGAGCCATAGTCGGAAGGCAGGAGGCTAGCCAGTAGTCCTCTCCAGGAACAAGTGGCGAAGGGCACTTCATCACACATCTGCCGGTTAGTCGGGCAGCCCACCCACAAAGAAATATACGCAGTGTAACCCCCCCACAATAAATGGTACTGGCCTGTAGGTTCAAGTTTGTAGTGGGTCAGCACAGCACTCTCGGTCTCTCTGATGCAGCTAGGCAAACAGCTGGTGTTGCTTGGGGGCAAAGGCCAGCGGCGCTCTGTCTTTCGTTACACGAATAGGCTCCATGGCATAGCTATCTGGGGTTGCACTACTCACTTAATGAAAGTCCCGAACGCCCCGGCAGAAATTTCTTTCTGCAGAGTAAAATACAGCTATCAGCACAGGGGTGATAGTCGGAAGGCAGGAGACTAGCCAGTAGTCCCCTCCAGGCACAAGTGGCAAAGGGCACTTCGTCACACTACCCTAAAGCCAATAGGAATATAAGCAGAAATGACAAATGTTAATATAAGATTGGTGACTGCAATATAAGGGAGAGGACAATGTACTTATCTAGAGAATAATGATGTTTTTCTTTATTTCCCCATATGTATACTTATTATGTTAACGGATGAGATGTATATATGGTGAGCTGTAACTGGTTAGAATCATATCAGCTCCATTAGGATGAACAAATGTGAGCAAGAGATGAGCGACTTACAAACTGTGTGAACCCAGCCAATGAGAAATGAAGGGGGGAGGAGCTTTGGATACAAATGGACAGCAAGCAGCATGAAGAGGACATCTGAGGAAGCCCAGGTCACATGGATGAAACATGTTACGTCATAAGTTTGGCGGAGCCAGGACCAGCAACAAGGAAGTGACAGGAGCAATTGACTTTTAAACAAGCGCTTTTAGTGGGAACTTATTTGTCACAAGCCCATATCTTGCTGAGTTAGCAGTTTTAATTGTTTTACTAATAAATATATTATTTTATAGTATGCTATTGGTGTGCTCCTGGTTGTGTCTCCCATACAGTGCTGCAGAAGAAAGTTTGGTCTCTCTGAGGAACCAGATTGTGGGAACATTTCCCTCTCCATAGAAGCTTATCCCACCCAGAGCCAGGGTTCATTAGGCTCTGGGAAATGTGAGTGTGAACTCCCATTTTTCTATTTAAGTGTGCACTACAAGAATATTTTACAATCAGATGGTCTGCACTATATTGTCTATATGTATCTTTTCAGATGATTATTATGAAGGTTTACTGGTGAGATATATACTTACTAGATACACATAGTAATACTCTAGTGCAACATCTTTTTCTGGATAAAGGGTTAGTATTTAGTTAGTATTTATGTTAGTATTTTGAATTGACACCTATAGGCAGGGCCAGACTGGCCCACCGGGATACCCGAAAATTTCACAGTGGGCAGCAGCACTTGGGGCCGGGGAGAGAGCCCTAATACCTATAACTAATACCATTTGGTATTTTTCCCTCAGACTGTGAGGACTGTGAGTCCTAAGGAATTATGGAGGGGGGAGCTTGGTGCCGGAGTTAGCACTGCAGGGAGGGAGCTTTCTGGCACTCAAGCTTTGCCCACAATTTACAAGCCCCACCCCTGATTGCAAGCTCCACCCCCGATCTCAAGCTGCTGACCAGGAAGAGGCCAGGAAATGGAATCCTCATCTCCCAGGGTACTACAGGAACAGACTGCAGTACCAGGTAGGCTTCAAATACACTGCAGCTAGTGAGTGAGAGTGATCTTTTGAGCTGTAGTGTGTGTCAGTAAGCATGTCTGTATTGAGCATGTATGTGTGTGTCAGTGAGCTTGTCTGTAGTGACATGTGTGTCAATGAGCTTGTCTGTAGTATGCATCTTTGTGTATACCAGTGAGTTTGTCTGTAGTAAGCTTATGTGTGTCAGAGAGTTTGTCTGTACTAAGTTTGTGTGTACATGTAAGCTTGTCTGTGTTTGCAAGGTACAGTACAGCGGGTGATATTTTTTAAGGTGGAATCGACAAGTTTTAGCAACATACTGGATATGTAGAGCCAGGATCAAAGATAACACCATGACAACGAGCTTGCAATAATAGACTGATGCAAGGGAGAGCGAAGGAGGAGGATCAGCATTATGAGCAATAAGAAGCTCAGTTTTAGAGAGATTGAGTTTCAGAAAGCTGGAGGACATCCAATTAGAGATTGAAGAAAGGCAAGCAGTGACACGTTGCAGGACCGCGGGGGAGAGATCAGGGAAGGAGAGATATATCTGGGTTTCATTGGCATACAGATGGTAGTGGAATCCAAAGGAGTAAATTAGTTTGCCAAAAGAGGCTGTATAAAGAGAGAACAGAAGGGGACCAAGAACAGATCCTTGAGGGACTCCAACCGAGACAGGTTGCAAAAGGAGAGACTGAACGAATGTTGGGAGAGATAGGAGGAGAACCACAAGAGGACGTGTCTTAGAGACCAAGGGATTGAAGAGTTTGGAGAAGGAGAGCATGATCAACAGTGTCAAAGGAAGCAGAGAGGTCAAGAAGAATTAGTATGGAGTAGTGGCCTTTGGATTTAGCTGTGCTTAGGTCATTTAGGCAAAAATTTAGATCTCACATAATTGCATATATTTCACATAATCACTATGAATTCTTAATATTGCTTCTTTTATGCTAGATCTAACACAAACAACAATTGATCTAACCAGATTTAACAAGGATCTAGCAATCTGCATCATTTTTTTGTTAAAATGTTTTATTTGAAGGGGGTGCTAACCGGGCTTTGGTGAGTAATTTAATTGCCAAATACCATCTCATCATTGATCAAGACATTATTTGACAATGTGAGAGCAAGGTTGAATCTTAGTAGTTCTTGCTGATTGCAGGTGCACAGCCTGGTCTACTTATCGGCTCCTACGAGCTCTTCATCTGACTGTTTAAAAAATGTTACTTTGATTTAGAAGTTGTGAACAAGCTGATTGTTTCATCAGGTCAAAATGTTAGTAATAATTTTTAAGTACTGCAAGATTCCCCAGAATTTTATACTTCTACCTCTATAATTTGCACTATTCCTGGTCAGGTTTATAATTTGCAATGGAGTTGGTTTATGGTAAGTATGAAACAATTTGACTTATTTTCCTCCAATTATTCTATGAGCTGAAAGCTGATTTTACCTTCAGGGTGAAGCCTTTTGCCACGGTCCCAGGAGCACATTTATCCAGTGTACCCCATGTACCCCACTGAGCTCCATTCGGAACTTCGATAATTGTTCCCGCTGTCTGTCCAGCAAGGACAAGGATGAAAGACAGAAGAGTGAGGACCATCATAATCTTATCGATGTCTTACTCACAGAGAGGAAAAAGCAAAGTGATCTAAACCCAGTGCATCCACCAAATTGTTATATTTATAGTGTGTTTCAATGATTATTAATACTTTAAATGATACCATCTCATGGGTAATTATTAGCTGACCAGTACATGGAGTGTCCAGCTTGTTAAACACTTATCATCTGGTCAAATGACATTGGGTCAGAGTGATCTTTTAACCTTCAGCTTATCTCAATCACAGTCAAATGAGTTAATGGCGAGGCAATTGTCAGAATGAGGACATGTTAGAAAATAAAGTTGAGAACAACCTTATGTCTCACTTCTCACCTGTGGGTAATACTATTTAGGGGGAGAGCCAAGTGTCCCTCCAGCCACACCCATGGCAGGTAGAGACCCTAATATTATAATCAAAGGAGAGGAGTTAATGTCTTCCCCTGGCCCCATCCATTGTCAATTGATGGAGGCCCTAACTAATATATTCAAGAGGAATACGTAGTGCTGCACCCTTCCCCCCCCCCCCCCACCCCGAGCCCTGGCAGGGGTTCTAATTCATTAAATAAGGGGGTTGTACATGCTATGGTCCCCCCAAATAATATTAGGTCCAGCCCCTGGGTGGCCAGGGTGACCTCTCCACCTCCCCTATCTTTACCCCACCCTGATAATAATAAAGAGGGAGGAACACAAACTGTAGTCAGGGCACTGTGTCCGTGTGAGACCACTTTAGCAGCTTTATACACAAAGCTCTGTATATGGGCTATCCTGAGTGGCTGACAGTCAACCTTTGTGTACTGACACCGCTATTTTAGTTATATAGTTTCTATCTTGCACAATTGGCAGACATGCCTTCTCTTCTTTTTTAATTTTATCTTTTACACTTATTACTTTTTTAGCTTCTTATTTAGTCTCATACCATATTTCTCGATTTTGCAATTCATTAGTCTTATCAGTAATATAATTTTTTTTTTAAATGCTTCTTAAGGGTAAACTATAGTGCCAGGAAAACAAAGTTGTTCCCTCTCCTTTGTGCCTCCCCCTCACCTAAACCCCAATGGTGCAGAATTGGTTAAAAACCCATTCTGCCACTTACCTAAGTCCAGTGCTGATGTTCATTGGTGCTGGTTGGGTGGGCCTTCACTTCTCCTCTCATCAGCTGGCATGAAAGAAGGCCCTGGGGAGATAGTGCAGCTAAGCGGACAAGTTCACATGTAGGAGTGTGGGGATAGAAGCTGTGCCTGGGCTTTTAGTCTTCACAGCTTGAAGGATGGATATTGAGGCAATCCTGGCGTCCCTCAGGGCTGCTGCTGGACTGGATGGTGGCCGATAACTAAGGGAGCAATTTGGGCACGTTACTGGAGGTATGGCTGCCGGTGGTCCCCCCACCCCCCGTGGCATACCGTCTCCTGGAGCACCCCCTGCTGCCTCCCCTGCGGCCCCTGCCCCTGGGGGCCATGTTAGCACTGGCAGGCGTTCCGCCCTGATAATACACCTCGGGCCTGGTTGAGGACTGGGAGCCCGGGCCCGAGGCACCAACAGGACCGCGTGTCTATTACGCGGCCTGCTACTAGAGGCCAGGATTCGCGGCCTTCCTACTACTGGGAGGCCTGAGGTGACTGATAGCAAATTTTGGATAAAATGAAAAAAATTCCCAAACCATTTGCAATTCTCAAATGTACTATAAGCTATTTCAGATGAAAAGCCATTATTGGGCACATCTCTAGGTAAAAAATTTTTGATAAACTCTTTAAATGATTTTATATATTTATTTTTTTTGATAAATGTTTTAAATGGTTTTTTTTTTCCAAAACATTAAAATCTCAAAACATATATCACATTTTAAAACATGTATCAATATGTAAAAAAAAATATACAAATATAAAATATTTTAAAAGTTTATCCAAAAATATTAAATCATTTGTAAAACATATCCAAAAATATTAATTCAAGGACTAAATTTGATAACCCAAACTGGGACATACTTTGGTGAATAACTCTCTGTGCATATTGTCTCGTTATAACATAAATTAGATACGTGTGTGGTAGTCAGGGCGAGTAATTGGCTTTACAACCCATATCGGCAAATATTTAGGACAGAGAATCTCGGCTGTGAGAATGTGGCTCAATTTTTGGTGTATCAACTTGATCTATGTGCTCAGATTTTTCAGTAGGCAAAGTAGGCTCCTTCGTGCACGTCCTGCACGCTGTGACTTTTTTCCCTGGCTTTTAGATTGAGATATTAGATCAGGGATGGGCAACCTTCGGCACTGCAGATGTTGTGGACTACATCCCCCATAATGCTCTTACACCCATAATGCTGGCAAAGCATCGTGGGAGGTGTGGTCCAAAACATCTGGTGTGCCAAAGGTTGCCTATGCCTGTATTAGATCTTTGGCCAACAATGACAAAAACAAAGTGTAGTGAAAAGGTGGTGTATAGCCAGTGGCAATCAGTAGTCAATACTAGGTTGGGTGGGTGGGATAAAATGTTCCAAGCCACGGGGCCACACTGCTCCCAGTTGACATTACAACTGTCCTTCTAAAAAAGTATTTCTACCGCTGTGCTCCAAGACCAGTTTACAGAGGTAGAAAAGTGGATCGCAAATAACAATCTCTTAAAAAACACTGACAGAACTGTCACAATGGTCTTTCGAATAGTACCTAAATTACACAATTCCCACCTGTCCATCAAAACAAAACCAAATAGCAAACTGACCGCAGTCCACACTTTCAAATACCTGGGTATTTTGTTAGACCCCAATCTATCTTTTGGCCTCCATATAGAAAAACTTGCATCTAAACTTTATCCAAAACTAGGTGCCCTGTACAGAAACAAATCCTGCCTGAGCCCTACAGTAAAGGAAAAGATTGTACAGCAAATGCTGATGCCAATCATTGATTATGGGGATGTAGTATATGCATCTGCATAGCAATCCCACATTAATAAACTCAATACATTGTATAACTCATTCTGCCGATTTGTGCTACAATGTAATTACAGGACCCACCATTGTGACATGCTAAAGGAACTAAACTGGCTGTCGCTGGAATCCAGACGCACCCTTCATCTTTCCAGCCTTGTGTTTAAGAGCTTTTCTGGGAAACTCCCACCCTACCTGAACACAATGCTTTCCCCAGCTGTTCCCACTTCCTATAACCTCCGACCCAGTACAAGCACTTTACTTAATCTACCTCAATACAATAAGAAAGCGGCCCGATCCTCCTTCTCCTACAGAGCACCGCAATTATGGAACGACCTCTCACACACTTTCAAATCTTCCCCAAACCTAAAATCCTTTAAGAGATCCCTCTCTACATACCTCAAAACAGAATGCACCTGTTATGGTTGATTATATATTTCCTGCCTGCTCTATGTTACATTTTGTATATATTGTGTATTAATATTGTTTTTGTATTTTATTGTACCCTATTGTATCGATGCAATGTTTTGTGGACCCAGAACATACTTGAAAACGATGGAAATCTCAATGTATCTTTCCTGGTAAAATATTTTATAAATAACTAAATAAATACATTGCAAAGCGGTCAGGGCTAAGAGCTGTAATAAATGTATGCTTTCATGGATTCTATGAACAGATAATGTATATTTATACAGTATTTTTGATAAGCTAATTTCTTGGCATATTCAAGTTTCAATAAGTTTCTGAATATATTGCGTGCTCCTACCCCCAACACTCTCAGCTTATCAATTCCATCCGGAGCTATACTTCTAGTCCTTCTCCACCAGTTTCTTGCTTTCACTCAAATAGTCAGCTTTAAAAAAAAAAATACTGTGCGCAGTAAACAGCAAACTCCAAAGGGCAGTACCTACAGTCACAAGCAGATTTCTCGGTTACCTCGTTTTTTCATTGACTGTATTTACATTGGAAAAACATTACCGGCTGAAGACTCATTTTAATTTTGATACATTTAACAACTGCACATAGAAAGGATCAGTGTAGAACAATTTTTTTGACCAATATTTCGTTCCCATGTCTCCCATCTTGCCAACCCTTTATCCAATAAAAAATACATTCCAGATTTAATGAAATTGTAAAAGTGTAGATGCGGTGTGTGCGTGGCCATAGGAGTGCACATCGCTCAGCTGACATTTCTGTAAGGTATAAAATATAAACATTTGGATTTCTGTTATCCATACTATGGCAAGGCTTCCAGTTAGTCAAGGGTGCTACTGATTTAATGCCACGTGGTTATATGATTATGTGGATCTCTTCTACGTGGTTCACTTGAAGCTCTGAGACACACAAGATCTTAAAACTGGTATTAATCAATATCTTTATTAAAAGCTTTGACGTTGTAGCTTGTAGAAAAGCTGTGATTATTTTGTTTCCTTTTAATATTTTTTTCTCCAACTTTGTCAGAATATTTATTTTTGTTTTTTTGCGTTTGACATAATATGGACACCTTTACTTATCAAACAAGATCAGTTTGAAATCTCCCCTAATCGGGTCATTCTTCCTTCTGAACCTTCTTAGCTAAAAGAGAAATCTATGCACCATAACCACTACAAATAACTGCAATGCTTGTGGTATAATAGGTCTTCAGGTGCTGTCTCAAGTTAGTGTTATAACATGTTTCAGTGGTTTACAAAAGCCGGGGTACTCCCATCATCTAAAGCTAGGTGTCTCTGGTATACTGGGCCTGGCACCATAACCACTACAATTAAATGCTTTTAAAGTGTCATTACCCCATTTTATTTCTTGATGAAATCTACGATTGGATCAGCCCTCAAAAACAGAAACAAACATTCCACCTTTTCAATCTCAACATTCAAATTCAAAATGTAACAATATAATGAATGGACACCGAAAGTACCTGTTAGATGTCACGATAAGACAACTGATTTTAATGCAGCCCTTCTAAGTATCTGCAAGATTTCAACGCTAGATATTACTAGAGCTTATCAATTTTACATGATTGATAAATTGGATAACTATTAGAAATGTTAAATTGTGTATAGGAGAGAATTATGTTCTAAGCAAACATTCATACAGTCCAGTTACACTGATTAGCAGTGTCAGTTCCAATGTGTTCCTTTAAATTTAGCCTGCCCTTTTTCAGATGAATCTCAGATTCGATACTGTGTAGATTCAAGGTGCTATTTGTGTGAAGATTTACATTTCCTACTGCTTGCACTAAACACGTTTCCCGATCTTCAGCGGATGTGCCAAGTTACCTTAGAAATCAGATATCCCAAAAACCATCAAAGACCCTGTTGGGAAGAATGGCACTGAATCTTTTCACGTTAGCAACATAAAAAGCAGACGTCATTCAGAGCTGTATCATCAGCTAAAAGACCTTGATCTTCTTGAACCTTGGTCTGTATCCCGCAGATTCCATTGTGACAACGATTACTCCATGCACCATAAGAGCCCCATATCATCCCTTCTCCTTCCAAATACTCTCCTTCCGAACACATAACATTGATGTTGTTCGCCGCTGTGTTATCACCCACAGTTTTGTATTCTTCAACTCTTAGAGTAAATGCCACTATGAAACCCCGTAGACACCAATGGATGGATTTCCATTCTCCCCAGCTGTAGAAGACAATAACAGGTTAGAGTTGGGCTGCAATTTTAAAATCCTCATTCCTTAGCCTCTCTAACCTGAGAAATGAATGACTAAAACAGTTATAAAAGACCTAATTATAAAGATATATTGCAGCTTCATGAGCTACTTACTTGGGGGGAAAATTCCACCTCGAGTTCTCTGCAGTACAAGGCTAAATAGGGCCCTGGGATGAAGCACCTGTGACAGGGAGGGGTGCAAAACCAAGGAGTTGGCTAGACTCCCAAATATATACAGGGGGCTGGCTGCACTCACCTGAACATGCATAAATAGGGTGCTGCTGGGAGCCAATTTATACAATAAAAAAAATCCAGCGCACTCCCTTATCCACTAAACAGCAACTTTGGTGCTGACAGATTTTGTTCGTTTTTTTAAATAATAAAAAATAATGGGGGTTTAGTTACATTATATCATCATACATTGCATAAGCCTGTCACAACATCAATGTACCCCATCTTTGGCAGGTCCTACTCTAAGACTAATTGTGCATTAAAACGGTGCGGTTCTTCACCAACATTTTATCATGTTTACTGTATCTTCTATTTACCCCATCTTTGGCAGGTCCTACTCTAACAGCCAAATGTATGCTAAATTAACTACTTATTTGGGGAAATACTTCCATCTCGAGTTCTCTGCGGTACAAGGCTAAATAGGGTCCTGAGATGAGGCACCTGTGACAGGGAGGGGTGCAAAACATGGGCGTCCGCAGGAATTTTTCCAGAGAGGGCATAATTGTAATGACATCCATGCTTGGTCCCTTTTTGACAGTGTCATGAAGGAGAGGAGCATAGTCATTATCACATAAAGCCAGGGTGAATAGCGTTTTCACAACTATGGTGTCAGGAATACATGTTTGTATGCCTGACACTATAGTGTTCCTTTAAGCAAATTAAAGAAATATTCTGG